ATCTCGATACGGGGGCCGATAATTTTTCGGTCATTTTTGATCGGTATCGGCAATGAACGAAGTAAACTGCGAAAAACTGAAAAATGATGCACGCTACGATTGCGCTTGAATGTCTGTCGCTAAGAGAAGGAAAAAAGCAAATTCGTTATTTCGTTCGTTGCCGATATCGATCTAAAAAGATAGGAATACGATCGGCTCCTGAATCAAGATTCACAACTATTTCTTATGTTCGGGTATCTCATAAGATACCCGGGTAGAAGGGTACTTTTTGTTTACCTGGTTATCTCGCGGGTACCCGGGTACCCGGATATCTCAGACACCCGGTTCAAATCAATAGCCCTAATAATTTCGACCGCTCCACAGTAGGCCAGATCGAAGAATTAGCTGATCACAACTGTTTTAATACTTCAAGACTTAAAGAGAATAATATATAGGTCTTGACGTCAGCTATAATATTATTAAGTAAAAAATATATAATAACCACAATTTTTAATATATCTCATTACTTTCATTGTTTTTTAATGTGATACACATTTAGAAAGCAATATACATATATTCGTGAAACATGGATATGAGGAATTTGATTTTTTGGCAAATGAACAGTTAACTCTTCGATCTGGCCCACTAGTGCGCTCGGGCAAAAGTTTTCGGGACGGCAAGGACTGTCGCGTCGTCTGTATACTAGGGGTGTGCGGGTACCCGACCAATCGGGTTGGGTTGGTAAAATTCGAGCGAGCTCGTGCCAGCCCAACACATTCGGGTCAGATCGGCAAAAGTCAGTCGGGTTTGGACGAGTTCTGCCGATATTCGAGATTCGACCCGTATACACAATGCGATCCTTGATATACGTATGTACTCTCTTTATTAGACAATTAATTACTCGGCAAGCATATGTAAAATCCTTATAATTTTCACAAGACAAAATAATATTTGTAACGCATTTATTTATTCAGATTAAATTTCCATCGATATAATCTTTATTCTGTATGGAATACATATGATTTTAATTATTTATTTTACCAGAATTTGAAAATTCTTCCTATTACTAGACTATTATTTTCCTTTTTTAGTATCGCAGTACTAATTACTCGTATAAGAATTAATATATTGAATGTGTGGTACAAATAAAAATATACAAAAATAGGGTAAGTTAATAGGAGGGAAGTTTGATCTGAATAAATAAATGTGTTACAAATATTATTTTGTCTTGTGAAAATTCTAAAGATTTTGCATATGCTTGCCAAGTAATTAATTGTCTAAAAAAAAAAGAGTACATACATATATAAAGGATCGCATTATGAACGTGATATAGATCAAATCTCAAGTATGAGAAGAACTCGTCCAAGCCCGGCCGACTTTTGCCGATCTGACCCGAATGTGTCGGGCTGGCTCGGGCCATGCATTTCCCCCCGGGGTGTACATTTTTGAATAATCGCGAATGTTCTGGTTAGATTCGTCAGACGACGGCCCGCTTCGAGATCCGTTCCGGGGGCACAGAAAATGGACAGTCCGATACCGACTGTTACACGAGCAACAGCAGCAGTCCACGTGAGCCGCTGAATAAAGAACGTCCGTAAACCAACGTGGTGTTAGTTTCTCTCCCGTTCCCACATATTTAACACGCTCTATCATCCGACTGTATGATTTTGTTCAGAAATGCATCGGTGCCCATGCAAAATGCTATTGTACTTCCCTTTACATGGGACACTACTATTTGTACACTCGTGTCATATTGTCTACAAAAGGTATATACACGGTGAGGAAAAAATATGGAAATATCTGGATAACTTTGGAGGTCCAAGTTTTTCGACAAAACTTTGAATACAAAAGTTAAGTTCAAAAAATGAAACTTGACAGTAACCTTCACTTTCCGGTAAAAGTTCAAGGTCAGTTGAAGGTCAACTTGAAAATTTGAAATGGAAATCCCTATGTCTGACATCGGCAACGGATGGAGTAGAAAATTTTACGTTTAGATATGTTGCAAGGTCACACTGATCTTCAGCTGTCATTTGGAGGTCAAATTCATTTATTTATGAAGAATTCGTCAAAAAGTCAACTTACAAAGAGACGTACTGTACAAAAATTGTAGGGATTAAAGTGGGCACTTAACTGTGATACGGACCTTGACCTAAAGGGTAAAGTTCAAGGCCACTTGCCGGTTAATTAACTAACATTGAATTACACAAATTAATTAAGTTTACGAAGATTTGTTAAGCTTGCAAAAATTGTACGTTCTGTGAATTTGCAAAGCTCATCAAAATGTACTGAAATTCGCACAATTTTACTGTTTGCAAATATTTATAAGTTTCCAACTTTGCAAAATTTGGAGTAATGTGTTCGATTTACATAAAATTGCAAAGTTTATAGAAATTTGCTAAGCATGTAAGGTACAAAGTTGGATAAAATTTACACGAATTAGTTACATTCGCATTTTTAATTTGCTAAATTCTGGGAACTTATAAAAGATTGCAAATAATTAAAAATTAAGAAAATTTGCAAATAAATTTTTGTAGATTTGATTAATTTGTGTAATACAATCTTAGCTGATAAACCGGAAAGTGACCTTGAACTTTGACCTTGAGGTTGTTACGAACCGAGGTTAGTCAACGTTTATGCCCAAGTAGTCTGTTTTATATATGTGTTTCTGTGTAACTGTATCCGAGGCAATTAGTTAATCCCACAAAGGGATTTTCGAAGAAATTGGCTCGTTTCGAGGCGGTTAGTATCAATACGATCAGTCTAGCTCCGATTCTCGGCCTGTAAAGACATTTAAAGAGACAATGTATCCGAAAAAACGAAAGGAAGTTCAAAACGGGCAGCAAAATCACGAAAGAGGAAGTTTCACAGCAATAGGTTTACTCAAAAAAACTAAACAACTACGACGCGCAGCGAGTTCCGAGGTTGCGAGGCAGGAGCGCCGCCGACTAAGCAGTATAAAAAAGGCCGGTACAGCTCCTATACTTCAGCATCTTCAACAAAATGACTGTTACTTTTTTGTATCTTGAACGTTAAACGCGTGTTTCTCAATACAGTAGACTCTAACTATATTGCCATGTTCGGGGCTGTAGGAGAGTAAAATGGCAATGAGTTCAGAGCCCCCTCCATGCTAAGTTCTGTCGCCATCGCCTCGACCTTAGCGCTTGTGCAACAGCTGGATCGTGCTTGTACGCTGGCGTACGGAACGTGGTGGGAGAACGAATTTGTGTAGTCGAAAATACGTGTGAGGGGCAAGTGCCTCATGTGGTAATGTGTTCAATGGCAACGTAGTTAGAGTCTACTGTACTACTTTTTACAGTTTTTTTCAAATTGGCGGGAAAGATACAGAGAAAACTATTCATCCACTCGACTTCTTCTGGGGTTTTTTAGTTAAAGAATTAACAACCATTCTAAATGAATTAAAAACATTGATAAAAAAAATTAGTTTAAACAGCTTTTTTTTGCACGAGTAAGTCGAAATTTTGCTGTCAAAGTCGTTATTTTTTTTTAAAAATCCCTTAACTTTTACAATTTTATATTGTTTTCTTGTTTTTCTTAGTTCATCGACAATAAAATGATATGAAGATTACAAATATTTCTGCAATTTTTGTTCTAAGCAAGAATTAGAGGCTCCACATATCCCGCCACTTCACAACTACGGTGGCAAGGCACGACGATGATTCGTAAAGAATCTAATGTTCAAGTTTTTATTTATTAATAAACAAAATATTTTGTGTTGTTTAAATATACGATACATCACCCTTAAATTTTTAGAAAGAGCAGCATCATTTTTTGTTCATAAAAAAATTCCCGAAAATTTGCATTCTTTTCAGTGTCATAAACTAGGTTCCCCCATTAAATGTTCCACCACTACATTTTAAACAATGTTTTCTATGTTCCTTTACATTTTACATTAGATTGTTTAGCTGTTTAGTATTCACATTTAGACAATGACTTTTAATTCTTTCTTTTAAATCACATATGGGCAACCCCTGGCCCTCGGACTTGATACGACTCGCGACTTCTTTTCATCTGGTCGGTGATCCGAAAAATCATTTCTCTTTTTGGCAACACATAGTATACGTGTAAACAGTTTTTTTGCAAGACTGAAACACAAGTAAAAAATTCAAACAAGGAGAACAGACAAAAATCTGGAAAGGTCTCTGCAATTATTAGTTAATATACTACTTAAGAGTGTGAAGGAATAGGGAGGTGAGAAGGACAGGTGAATGATATCGTGGGGAAGAGGGAAGGGTACAAGTGGATTAAGGAGTCGAGGAAAATAAAGAAGGAGGCAGAGGAGAAGAAGAAACAGATGGCAGGGAAAGGAGAAAGATCGCAGGAGGACAGGGGAAGTAGGAACAATGGAGGAGAGAAATAGGGAAGGAAGGAGGAGAACAGAAGAGAGAGAAAGAAGATAAAATGGAATAATGATATAAAAGATAACATAGATTAGTATAGGAAGTCATATAATGCCCTAGGGCGAACATTAATAAATAATAATAACATTAGGTGTACAGACTAATGTGTGAATTTCGAGATTTGTTGTTCATTTACCAAAAAAAAAAAACAAATTACAGTCTAGACTTGCAAATATTCCCTATCATTTCTTGCACATTAATGCCATTTTTAGAGCAGTTGGCGAATACCCTTTCAAAAAAATGATGGCGATTTTGAGTCAATAATTAATTGGGGGGTCACAAATTAACGTGTACATGTAATAATTATACTACAACAGTAATTTAAATAAATCTATTATACATAGTGAGAATACTGTCAGTGCTAAATAATTGAAAAGTATCAATTTTTTTTAGATTTTAAGGAATTGTTTATAAACCATTTGTAGAAATTTTATGTCTCACACTTCTAAAAAAGATTGAAAACAGTTCATATACGTACAGAAAGTTTGTGTGTAACAGATAAATAAAAATAATGCATTCAGAAAGAATCATCGTCTTCTTGCTATTGCCAATGCTTATAATTATTCTTACATAATATCAACAATATTAAGCAATTGTACTTACATATTTGTTTTTAAAAAGTTCAAATCTATTTACTACTTTTGAAAATAATCCTTTGTGCTTTACTACTTTACTTAAATTCCTAGTCATATTTTTCACATGGACAGCATTGTCACAAAACTGACGAAACTGAGGTCTTATTGAAACATTTATATTATTTGTAATAATATATTGGTGTTCCATAATATAACTTAATGTTGATGGCAATAATACTTTCTGTAAAAATCAGAGAGCATCAATTAAATAAATACACAAGTTTAATGAATCAAATAAATTTAAACATAAGATTTATGATTCTAACAAGATTATATGCATTGATACAATTATTTAAGGTGGTTCGTACCTGACTCTCTAGTCAATAACGCATCATATTAATAATTGGTATTAAACAACCGCTAATACATTTTCATAATGTATAAAAATTACATCTATGAAATTTAACGACATTTCTATTGATTATTCATCATTATATTGTAAATAAAAAATATATTTTGGTTAGTCGTATGACTCCACAGTGCTAGTTTTTGGTACATTTGGCAACATTGTTTTTGCATGCATATCTATATACATGGTGCGTGTTCAGTTTTTCCATGTAGCCAGTATTCAATATTCTTATATGTAAAGTTAATTATATTCTCATACATTATAACTTAGAAAGTTAGAATTCAATAAAACACAAAATAAATAAAATATTTTTTAAATGTATTTGTATTTCGCAGGTATGACCCTACTTCAGCAAAGTTGTCAAGCCCTCCACATGGTCCCAATAACCATCCAATAACCTACATATCCTGAACTTTATTGTAGAATATCCCCCTGGAATATTCAGCATGGTACAAGATTTAATTCATTATCAGAAAGCTCATTTATACTTTCAGTACCTAGTTTTTAGTTAGCACTTCTAGTTTTTAGTTAGCACTTCTAATTTTGGTGAATAGGAAAGATTATACTTCTGGTAAGAAATCCTAAGACTGGCATGAAAGCCATGTTGAAAACTCAATTTTTGACAAGCTTTTTCTTATTTATTTGATTGGCCAACGAGTCTCTCAAATTTTGTATGTATGTATGTGTGTGTGTATCATTCTAATAAACAATCTGTATGAATTTTATTTAATTATCTAGTCTTTTGAATTTGGCACGAACCACTTTAAATGATGTACAAATACATCTTATAATCTGATGAATTATTTAACTATTACAGTGAAGAAATAACAAAAATTAATAAAATATTATTAAATATTATTTACAACAACAATAATAAATATTTTATCATTTTAATAATGTTATTTCATTACAATAACTAAGTTAACGGCAAACTAAAATCGTTTATAAGTATATATATTAAAATTGAATACGTGATGATATATGACTAATAGGTTATGTTCAAATATTCTTATTTTAATTGAGCCTACCTTTTGAAGAGTTAACATCTTTGTGCAATACATTTTTCCGGATTGTCCACTTCCAATTGTCAACGAATTTTCAACGTTTCGACCTTCCAAATCGGGAGTACTGTTGCCGTTCTTTTTTCAAATGTGAAACACTCTCATAATCTTACGACGACATGTGGTAACATTTGAGACGGTTCATTTTTCATGACTTTATAATTGAAATACTATTGTAGTTACTGTATAACACTTTAAAATCGTACATACGTCGTTAAACTTTCATTGCTTGCTACTTACAAGTATACAGAATACGGATATTTATAAAAATAAATATTTCCATAAATCAGTTTACAAAAACTAGTATCAAACAAAAATATTGGCTGAACTTTACTTCCCCGGACCAGAAATTATCGACTTTTTTTTATATCTTCTGGTAGTCTTCAATGAGTAGAATTTAAAAATGCAAGTTTGATGTTTAGGAATCCAGCGGTTCAAAAGTTATTCATATGTACCAAATTCGTCCAAAATCGCAGCACGATTTTAATTGAGTTAATTCGACTTCTACAATTTATATACTGTTTTACTCGATATGGAAATATTTACAATCGTATAATATATTTATATAATCCTTTAATGCCCAGACTTAACCCATTATGTCAAAGTTATGAGACTGATACATATGTTGTATCTTGTTATTTTGAAGTCCAAACATCAATACCTACTTTTCAATTTTTTTTCCTTGCTCAGAAAAGTTAGATATTAATCGGCAACAGAATTGCACGCACTTTTAGAATCAGTGTTGAACCGGTGCAACACTAGGCGTTAAAGGATTAATAAAAGAAGTACAAACATTTAAAATACCTGTAAGTTCTTTTTTCACGGAAAAAACGGCAAAACCATCGGTCTTTGATTTTTAAAACGATAACGGATCCTATAAAAAAGTCTTCAAAAAATTGAGGACATTACGTATGATAGTATGTCATTACTGTGAAAGGATACACATGGTACTGTTAGAACTTCGATGAGAAAAAATCTATTTCCAACACTTTTATTTTTTGAATTTTTACAACTAAGATACTCAACTAAAAAAATCGAGCAAAATTTATTAACATGTGCTCCAGTAAATACTACCTGTCAGATTTTTTACAGAATTTTTGCACGCCATTAAATAAGGACATTAATTCCCCGATCCGGCTATACCCTTTACAAAGATCGAAGATATATTTATAACGAAACATTTTAATCTAATGGATGTTTCTACGAATGTTTTTATATTTATGTACTCCAATAGTTAAAATAACGGTAACATCTAATTGTAAGAATACTTCTTGTATATATATAACAAAATATGTATGTATACAATATAAAATTTAAATATTGAAGAGGAAACAATTTATTTCCTTCTTTATAAATGTCTCGCAAATTAATATTTTCCAAGTGTTTATTTTACTGAGAGGTTACAAAGTGAAATTATAAAATAATTAAATATAAAAAGTAAAACCGTCACAGTGGGATTCAAACTGGATCTCCCGACTGTTGCTTACGCGTTTAGATTGCCGGGCGCCACGTCGGAAACGTGAATTTTCGGCCCAATGAGATTCTCGAACAGGGTCTCCAAGGTTTCTTCATTGTTTACGTTACCGGGTGACGCAGGTAGTCGGCGGAAACACCCGAATGGGCAGCGCACACGGCAGGGTTAGAGGTATGCTTGTGTGTTAGAACGGTGGAAGTAAAGTGGGAGACGCCGGCGGATCATAGTGGGGGAACCAAATTCCACGATTCTGGCATCACTGGACGGCACTCCCGTGTTAACGAATTTGTTTTTGGCGCCGCCACAGTTAATCTGCTGGAAATGGAATAACTAAAATTCAATATGGCGTACTGTAGCGGATGTTTCAAATAAAAAATGAATTCTTACAAAGTTAGTCTGATAAAAAATTTCTCATGATTTCTCATATTGTCTACATTCATAGAGAAAATATAAAAATGTTTGTTCTTTTCATATTTTCTCAATGAAATCAGACAATCTGAGATATCATGAGAAAATTTTCACCAAAGATATAAGAAAATATTTTATGTATTGGAAAGATTATAATGAGTTATGAAAAATCTTATTGTGTGTACAAAGAGTAAGGTGAATAAAGCTTGTAAGGCTTGCACTCTTTGTGGACTTTGCTAACACATTTATTACTGAACAATGTTCACAATACACATTTAAATAAACACCACTTTAACGATAAAACCGATGATACAATGAAAAGACGTCTCCGTTTATTGTATTGCAAGACGAATACAATAATGCGTGGAGTGATTGCGTGACTCGGTGCAGGACAAAGACTAACCGCGTCAAAGAATGAGCATTGTTTACTTTTGCAGCTAATTATCGACTGGTTTGGATTACCGTCCGATTAACGGTAATCCGGGTCAGTTTCTAGGCCAAAAGTGACGTAGCACCTTGCATGACAACAGCCGGTGAGTGCGATAAAGATAGACGCTTGTCGCACAAAGATACGTGTCAGTTAGACAAGGACGGCGTTTTAATCATGCGAGGCAGCCTACAGATGGTCTAGTGAAGGGGGGGGGGGGGGGAGTGCAAGGCTGGGGCAGGATTTGACGCGGGTTTTTCCGGCGTCACAAAAACTGAAGGGCGATCCGACGCCGGCAAGCCATGCGATACTTACCTGGGTTCTAACCTTAATAGTCGCTGGCGGCTGGCCTCGGAGAATCAGAAGGCCTGTTCCGGTCAAACCCACTCGGGCCACCTCCACGTGGTGCCCCCTGGGATCCCGTCGGGCGGAAACCTGAAGGGAGAGAGAAATCTCATCCTCCTGGTGGATGCCCGGAGGGATGCTAATGGTCCGAGTGGTGTCGGGCCGCTGGCGGGCCACGCGACCGTAGAGGTCGTGGTGCCCCGCTGGCGGCTGGACAGGGGAGAAAGGGGCGAAGGGGGGGAGCGAATGTGTGTGTGTGAATGTGTGAGTGAAAAGGCCACGGCCGGCCTCGAGGGGATATTCCTTACATACTAACCAAGGGGGGAGTAGTAAACCCCCCGACCGGAGCGGTTGATGATGTCAGTACTTGACCTCTGTGGTGGAAGGGGGTCACACCCAGGAAACCACATGTTTAACGTGGGAGAACCGCTCGCAACCGCTGACTGGAGCCTATGCAGGGGTTGAACCTGGGTAACCGGGCATGGGTATGGCGGGGGGGGGGGCATGGTCAGCTGCACTGCATAACCTGTGTGGTGCGGGGGTTAAATTACCACAACGTCTAACCTGAAGTACGGGTCCGGGAACCGCTCAGATCGGGACTCGCCCGTACAAAAGGGGTGACGGAAAACCTTTAACATCATTATGGCGCGGGCGTATCTTGTAACATTTTCTTAGAATCACAGGGGTAGCTAGGCCTGACCACCCGAAAAGCCGCTTCTCGGCAGCTACTCATTTTAATAGGGACTATTATTACCCGCGGAAGTGCCCCCATCGCGGTGGGGGTCCCATAATAGGCGTGTGGAGGAATAAAAATCGATAAATATGGACATAAACACACAAAACTTGGGGAAAGGGGGGGACCCGCAGTCGCCCTTACGGTGGCCCCGGGCAGCCAAACGCCGTATGCGGAAGTCATGCGGCGTGCTGTGGCCGGGGTCAAACAAGCGGAGGTCGGTAATCCCGACCTCCGCTACCGTAAGGGCCAGACGGGGTCCTCCATTTTGGAGGTCGCCTTGCCGAGGTTTTCCGCGGCACCGACGTCCGCGTCTCGAGGCCGGCGAAGACCGCAGAAATGCGGTTGGCCGGTCTCGACAAGTCGGTGACCGCGGAGGCCGTGGCGGCGGCGGTCGCCCGCGTCGGCGGCTGCGCGGCTGCCGAGGTCCGCTGCGGCGAGATCCGCCGAAACGCGTCGGGCCTTGGCACCGCGTGGGTGCGCTGCCCCCTCGCGGCCGCGAGACGGCTGACGACGGCCGGCCGCATCCTGGTCGGCTGGTCGTCGGCCAGGGTGGAGGCGCTCCCGGCCCGGCCCCTCAGGTGCTACCGCTGCCTGGAAGAAGGACACTTCAGCCAAAAGTGTCCGCGTGATGCGGACCGTGGCGCACGGTGCTACGGCTGCGGTGGCAAGGGACATATGGTCCGGGACTGCGCTGCGGCCCCCAAGTGCCCGGTCTGCGCCGACCTAGGTCACACAGGCTGGGCAGCAAGGGCTGCGGGCCACCGCCGTCCCGGCGGGGCCGTGGGGCCCGCACAGCCGGCCCCGATGGCGCCGGCGGGGCGGGGCGCCCCCCCCCCTCCGCCTTCACGCGCGCGTCCGCCGGGGCCGCTGATGCAGTCGGGGTGGGGTCCCCGGCTGCATGCAAAGCGGCCCGGTAGTGCCGGCGTCGGAGCGCAGCCCTCTGACGTTGGCGGAGTAGAGGAGGGGGTGTGACCGGGGTATCGGTCACCTCTGGGGGCCGTTTCGATCGCCCTCACGGAACGGGCTCCCCGATAAGGGGAGCGCAGGCGCGGCGGTGGCGGTGCGTTCATACGAGATCCCGCCACCGCCGAGTTCCGCCCGAGAAGGCTGCCGCGGGGTTTTAGTGGGTGAGAGTCCCACATTACCTCGGAGTCCCACCCCAGGACTCCAAAGTGTGCATAATGCATTTCCCCCGCGAAAAAAAAAGGGGGGTGACCCGCAAGGGACGGCAGAGCAGGAGGAAATTCTGCAAACGTCCCAATTGCCGCTTGGAGGCGGCAGCAGGGAAGAAGCCAGGGAAATGGGGATAGTCCCCACCCCAGGCACCGGCCGGCGACGCAGAGCAGAACAGGGCTATAGATGTCCTCGGGGCCAGGTTCCCCAAGGTGATAATACACCGGATGGGACCTCCTCCTCCGAGAAGCCCTATAAATATTAGAAGGGCTAGTGGCAGACTGCCCCCGGCGACGCCGGAGTGCATGTTCAGTGATGGCGGGGAAGAATCGGACGCGTCCGTCTTCTCCGTCGGATCATCTTGCTCTGGCGCCGCCGGGGGAAGCTGGAGAAGCGCCGGTGGCAAAAATCGAATGAGGGAGTCGGCCTCCGAAGAACCCGCTGGACT